CCCACCGCGGCGTACTTCTCGTGGCGCCGCGAAGAGAGAGAGGAGACTCCATTAGTTCTAAACTCCTTGGAGGGGAGACAATTTAAAGTTACGAGCCGGCGCGATAACAAACGTGAAGGAATGAGGCTCTGTCGCGACAAATAAACAGCAGTGAATCCCACTTCTCTATTTGAGCGCCTTCAAATCGGCAAGGTGCTTTTTGAATGTTGATACATGTTTGTTTGGATTTACTTAAAACTGAATGAAAATCATCATCAGCGATAAATCTCCTGTCAACAGTCCAGCTGGAAAAAAAGACCGGCACCGCCGGTCTTGCCCAGTTAACAAACCGTTTATTATTTGATTATATAGACGCTTCGCCCCTGGTTCAAACTGTTCTTCAAATGAACCTCCCCCAGATACACGTTCAGATTTGATTGGTATTCTTAAGTACTTGGCATCATTTGAATGTGTGATAATGGGGTTCGTTTGGCTTGTAGTATTTATCTTATGTTACCTTTCACTTCCAACGGCGTAGATCTCGTGGGTCCCCGGGCGCCCGGCGACTGCTGTGTGTTGTCTCTGTTACTGTTAGGACTGACGCTCTCTCTTCCTACGTTGAGTTTTTAGTCTCCAGTCGATCTTGTTTGTACTCATCAGTTCACGGGGAAAAACTGCTGCCCGTGCACAACCAACTGGCCAGAAAGTCGCCCCCAAAACAAGTCAAGTTTTGGAGACGTGAAAGGCTAAAATATTGGCCCTACAGGCTCAAAATCCTCACAGCAATCGATCACAGAAATAGAGTGCTTCTAGCACAGATGCAACTCTAGACGTTGGGGTGGCAAATATCAATAGTTTGATTAAAGATCTGAAAAGCTTACGAGATGAATGGGACGAAATCTTGAGTGAGTCCAAATAAGTAGCAGATAACTATGAGATTGAGCTTTCATTTGCCGAAACAGCAAAATGACACAAGAAAAGGAAGCGTTTTGCAGACGAGGCAGGAGATGTAACAGACAACCAAAATCCCGAGAACAAATTCAAACATGAAGGGTTTTTTTATGTTCCCATTGACTGCCTTCTTAAAAATTTGACGACAAAGTATAATGCAGTGACAAAACTCGACTCGTTATTTAATGTTTTGTGGAAATATCTCCAAGAGAAAGTCGGCGTTATTCGTGATCTTGCAAACAAATTGCACACGGAATATGCAGTGAATGCATCAGCAGACCTTGCGTAAGAGTTGGAACATTTGAAAGTGATTCATTCAGCGAACATTGGAGAAAATGTCCTGCCGTATCTTCAGTTGCTGAAAAGACTTCATTCCCTGAAACTGGATGCTTTGTTTCCAAACGTTGTAATCATGTTGAGAATCTTCTGCACCTTGCCTGTCACAGTTGAACAAGCTGAACGTTCCTTCAGTACCCTTTCTCTGGTGAAAAACATGTTGCGGTCCTCAATGCGTCAAGACAGACTCACAAGTCTTAGAATTTTGGCCATAGAGGCCAGTCCAGCGCGAAAAATGGACTACGAACCAATAATTGACAGTTTTGCTAGAGCTAAATCCCGTAAGGCAGTAAGGCTCCGTTGTTGTCAGAAAAAAGGTATGCTACTTTGCAATTCATTTTAATTTCTGTCATTGGTTTATTCATCTTACCTTCATTTTTAACTACCCGGTAAATCAGAAAAATTTTAATTAATTTTATGTTGACAACACCCAGCACTTGATGGAGGGGGACGAGACAAAGGAGGCTCGGGTGTTTGTGTGTGAGGGGGGGGGGGGGTTAGCTTTTATACAAACATCTCTTTCGCAAAATGCATTTCCAAGGGTAGTGAAGATGTGTGTCTAAGAGACAGGCAGACAGAGAGAGAGAGAGAGAGAGAGAGAGAGAGAGAGAGAGAGAGAGAGAGAGAGAGAGAGAGAGAGAGAGAGAGAGAGAGAGAGAGAGAGAGAGAGAGAAAGCGTATGTTGGTATGTAATAGATACGCTATAGTAAAGTGATTATATATGCCTATGTACATTGTATTTGTTGGGTTATTAAATCGCAGGTGAGGGTGGATGGGGCAGGGGGGAGGAAGGGCCCGAAAGTGATTGCTGCCCCAAG